TGCAATATTGACCGATTCATGATTTCAATGATAGTCATACCTTTCTTTATGTTTGAATAAAGCCAATTGAATCATGCAGTTAATTTGCTCTCTAATCAATAAAAACTAAAATATTCTCAAAGTTAACGGACTGTTCCATTATGTGTTACCTAGAATTAAGCATCTATATTATAGTATCCTATCTTCATTTTGAAAGTCTTAAAATTATTTAAGAAAACATGGTTGCTTACGTAATATTTCTTTGGCTTGTCCATTTTTAACATTCCTATGGCAAATTATATGTGGGTTAGGGTTAATTTAAATTTCTTGAGAAGTATATATATATATGTATGTCTGTATATATTCTAGTGCATTCTATCTGTTTAACATTTTAGCTTATTGACTGGCAATTCAGTTTACCACAAATAATTCAATCCGACAACCAACAATCCTCTAAAACAACACCGACAATCATTCAATCGAATGAAATAAAATTTGTGAAAACAAATTTTATGCTTATGTTTATTAAATATATTATGAACATTTCACCAAATCTATTAAATTGGACATCAGAATTAAATCAACTAGATGTTGTATCAAGAAGTAAGTGTTTTTTTTTGGTTGTGAGGTGGCGGGTAGAGAGAGGTTATTAATGTTTTAAGTATTTTTTGTCATGTTTTTACATTGAAATCATGAATAAATCAGTGTTTCATCATTATTAGATGTGCCTGGAAGCATTGAAAGACGGCCGTTTCGTCCTGGTATGGGACTCATCAGTAAGCTGTGCGTATCCACGACTCCTGCTACTCGCAGGACCTTCGGTCTTGTGTGCGAACGCTTAACCTCTGAACCGCTGAGCCGGCAGCATCCACTGCTGTTAGTATCTAACTGTGATCAATCTTAGGTAATTATTGCATCCACTGGTCGCGTCTTTATTTGTTTGTTGATCAGTTTTCTATATGAGTGCATATTCGAATGGCTAACATAAATTGAAGTACCGGTATGGTACGTATAAATTCATTCTGCATTATTTTATAGACATGAAACAATTAATGGGTAAACAATGCTGTGGTTAGGAGTATAATGTTGGATAAAGATGATTTTTTGTTTTGGTGAGACTATGAATATTCATTGATTCATATTTTTGAGGAATGTATTTGTGCCTTCAACCACAGTCCCTATCTTAGTATGCAATGTCAGCTGATGTTGGTTGACCAAATTTAGAACGCAATATCAGTCTGCGAAATCACTAATTGCTGGTCTGAGCTATGTTGATAGTTTCGGATTAGACGGTTAGGACTCACATGATAACTACAATCAGTTATCGGAGACGTTTAGGGATGACATCGTTTGCCAAGTTCTAATATTCCTTTGAAAATGCTGCCTTTTTATTTCATGTTCACGTTCCCTAACTAGTATGCCACGCGTCTGGGATGTCGAGTCTAATAATATTGTTTAAGCTGTTTGCAATGCCTCCGGTGCATCCACTCTTTGTGATCTCGCAAATGAATTCCTCATCATCTCCATTTGTCCCTTTCTAAATTTATTTCAATGAATTATATGTCTTGAATAATTTGTTTGAAACCTAATCTTCTCCATTACCGGTAATACTTCTACTATCTCTACCACTACGGGATTTATATTAAACAATTGCATCTCTGTGTGCGAATGTGGTGGTATGGCAACTTGAACTGAAGTACGTACGTATGAAGTTCTACGTTGCAACTGACTGAAACTGTATTTTTATTAAAACAAAAATGATTTATTCTTCAAAATTAAACTATGTAGCTATATCATTGAAATCATGAACCGATCTAAGTTAGACTACCGTTAAAGCATTGAACGGTCATTTAATTCTAATGTGGGATTGACTTCTCAGTATTGCGGATTTACAACCGTACACGTGGGGATCGAACTTACCGTCGTTGACTCTACTCGAAAACGTTTAATGTCTGGACTATTGATTCTGCATCCTATACTGTTAGAGCTATAGTTTTGTGATGAAATGCCATGATTTCCAACTACTGGGTCATAGGTACAGATCACTGTTCACATACTTCGATTTGGATACCTGAATAGTAATCATTGCTATTCGAACAACGAAATTGTCACACTTGAAATGGTTTACTTAATAATCTATTCTCCTACCACATGATATATGTTATTGAATAGCTTTTAAAAGATTAAGAAAATATACTTTTGGTGAAAACTCTGCATGTGGAGCCCGTCTACGGTCACTGCTGGTCTCCTCCCTTACCCCGGATAAACGAGGAGGATTGAGCATGAGGGGTTAGCCACCTCATCCCGTAGTTATCCAACTCGCTAATGCAGTTCATATTTTATGAATTGTTCTATTTTTAATAGTTTAATTCGTTGCTTTTTCTTCCTTCTGTTTTATTTTTCTCCTCTAGTTTCAATCAGTGATCTATTCAAACGTATTGAATATGTGAAATCAAGTTTAACATTTTTAATTCATTATTTTAAAACTACTGAAAAAGTTAATAGTAGTATAAATAGTGGTAGTAGTGTTAATAATAATAATAATAATCATAATCATGATAATGATAAAATAACAAATCCAATTCATTTAACATTAAACAATTTAACATTAATGAATCGTTTATTAGAATTATTAACAAAAACATCAGAAACTATATGGTGTATTTTATATTCCACTGCATATTGGATTAAAGCATCATCGCCGTTATCATCTCAATCAACAGATTGTAATATTATGTTATTATTAGACGATAATTGGTTAAGTCCACTTGCTAGATTTGCTTCTGCATTTAAGGTATGTTTGTATATATATATATATATATACATGAATCAATGTATGCATATATTTTAATTGTATTAATGCGTTTGTTTGTGGACTGTGGGCTTTTGTGTAGCTGCTAAAATCGAGGTGGATGGTTTTATTAGGAGGTTGAGTCTTGAGTCTTTGGACAAGATAGTAAAGTAAACGTAAGTTGATGAGGTCCTATGGTAGACAGGTATCAAGAATAGGTTCATGCGGTATTTTTTCCCCTGGAGATTCTGGAGCCAATATGCACCAGTGGTTTCGAATGAAGGTTTTTCCAACTTTCATTGATGGATTCTCCATACTCACAAACCAAATTCAGGTGCTGGACACATCTTATTAATTCACATTAGATAAAATCCAAGATTCCTTAGTCCTTGTTGAGGATGCTAGATCTTCAGAAACTGTTTGGTAAACGTATTAAATTTGTAATGTATTTATGGAGACTTGAATTCCCTATTTTCGTGACAAAATCACCCAATCATACATTTTGTTTTAATTTTTTCACTTGGAAGGACCCTTGAACGTTATTGGTTTGTTTTCTATTCTCGTATGCTATTTTTTTTGCTTTTCAAGGACGTTTTCTGTTTTTGTATAAATTACGTTTGAATTGAGTGCTTGTGGTTTGTTTATTGGTTTGTTTCGGGTTACTTGTGGATTACATTTTCTTCCTACTGACTCTGAACTTCTTCTTCCTGTAGTTATCTAGGCTATGGCGCAGAGGATAGCTGTGTCACTAGTTATACATTGCATTAGCCGGTACAAAGTGGTTATCGAAATATCACAAGCATATAGCAATCTTCATAATCACACTTGTCTACTGTAAATTTAGCAGTTACTGATCATTTATAATTAACAATTTCGGCCAAAAAAATTCATTGGTTAAATTATCTCATTCATTATCAGTATAGAATGAACACACCACTAACAATTAGAAATTCCTATACGTAATTCATGATTTTATTTTGTGACCGTTATGTAATAAAGTGAACAATAAAAAATTAATATTGTTATTTAATCACTGAAAGTAATTATTATCGTTTTATACATAATATACATTATAATTTTCTTTCTTGTAAATAACTGAACTGAATAGATTATATGAGTAGAAGATATTAGTAGGTAGCTTGTTTTCGAACATAGTTGTCTCTGAAGCATTGCTCGTGTATTCTGTAACAACCGAGTAGGCAATGCACTTGTTAGGAAACGGGTGCTAGATAAGGATAGCAGGTCAATAGATGAAGTATTGAAACTGCATCAGTCGAGGTGGTTGGGACATGTGTTGCGTGTATGCCTAACCGCTGACTACCTAGGCAAGCGATGTTTTGTAGTGTAGGAGTGAGTTGGAAGAAAGGTAGGGGCGGCCACATCAAAACATGTCACAAATCCATGAAGTCATTGACAACTGGACTGAGTCATGTCGGTAGGTGTCAATTACTTGCTTGCGGCCCGCGAGACGATAGTAATCGAAGGTTAGAGACCCTAAATGACATGGTTCAAAACTGTTTGCAATGGCTCAGGTGCACCCACTCTTTATGTTCTCTCAAATCGTAATATTCAGATTTCCTCATCACCTCTGCCTTTCTCTTTCGAAAGTTATCTCCCGAATTATACTTCTTGAATAATAGCTTCGAACCCTAATCTCTCCGATTACTGCTAATACTTTTACTACCTCTACTACTATGGGATTTGAATTGACAATTGCGTCTCTGTGCTAATGTGGTATGGCAACTTGAGCTGAAGTACGTACTTACGAAGTTCTGTGTTGCTGTTGATTGATTGATTGATTAGGTTATTCATGCTGTGCATACTGATTGACGCGATCAAGGATCGGAAATAATCACCATATATGTACTGGTGTATATAAATGATGTGAGTGATCGACTAGGGTGTCAGGTACTTATGTGGTTGTACCAAAGGATTGAGACGAACTGTTCACGTCGAAGTGTTAACACGTGTCAGTGTGTCTAGTTCCCTTGAAAATCCATGTAAAATTACCCTTGCCAATTGAGGGTGAATTTGTGTAATAATTAATTGCTAATCAATAGGAAAAAAAATTAACACCACTGTCTAGATGGTTGGTTATACCAATGGTTGATCAAAATGAAAATAAATTATTTTATTAAAATAATTGTTTCTGTTGTGTGTTGGGTTAGGGTTTTTATCACGAAATGACACCAGCTATATAATACAGCGCTTTGTCTATCTTAGGGTTGATATTTGGTGTCAGATTTACGACTATCGAATACTATTTAGTTTTTACACATTTGAAATCATTAATCAATCATCATTGTTAGACCACCATTAGAAACCTGAAAGCACTGGACGGCCGTTTCGTCCTAGTATGGAACTCCTCAGCAGTGCGCATCCACAACTCCTGCTCCTCGCAGGATTCGAACCCGGGACCTTTGGCATTGTAGGCGAACGCCTTACCATCGGACCACTGGGCCGGCATCCAACGGTGTTAATGTCTAACTCTGATTGATTTAGTTTTATTACATCCTTAACTAAGCATTGGATTACATCATGTATTTCGAAATACGATTTCACTTAGAATCAGGTATATTTTCTTTAGCTGAAGCCGCATTCCATATTCACTTTTTGATATGATACAAGATATTCTTATTAATCTTAACGATTTCAATGACTCAATATTTCCCATTTTTAATCCATTAATCAAAAACATACAAGTTATCCATCTTCTGTACTTTAAATTTCGCCTAAAAATATGAGGCGTTTTTGAATTCTGATTGGTTAGCTCAAGGTCATCGATATATTATCCCTGTCATCGGAATCAGAAGCTAAGTTTATGAATTCGAAGTTACAGTCTTTATCTTGAACTAAAATCGGCTATAACATCGAAATGTTGTTTAACCATAAAGGTATTCAGAAAGAGATGAATGGGTTTCGCGCCAAAACTCGAAAAGTTGCCATATTTAATTTTATCGATTGGTTTAAACATCATTGTCTTTCTCGCTCTCCCATACAGCAAGTCTTGTCATGGTGAATGACTCATTTTTTTTAAATATTGAACAATAAAGGAGATATTAGTCATTTGTTTTATTCTATTGTAATTATTATTAGATTAAAAATAAATAGGGTATGATTAATTTTTATATTAGTTTTTTAATTGGTATAATAGATTTCCCCAATTTTATAAGATTGTGAATGATTTCTGCACTTGTTTTTTTAACTCTTATTAATTTATTACTCCACCGACTGCCTTAAAGAGTGGGAATAGGCCAAACCGAAACATGACACAATTCCATGAAGTCACTGACAACTGGATTGAGTCATGTTGGTAGGTGTAGACTACCTGGTTGGGGTCCGCGAGATGATTGTAATCGATGATTAGAGACCTTGAATGACATGGCTCAGGTGCATCCATTCTTTTTGTTCTCTCAAATCCTAATCCTCTGGATTCTTCATCATCTTTATCTTTCTCTTTTTAAGTGTATTTCACTAGACTGTACTTCTTGAATATAATACCTTGAACCGTAATCTCTCCGTAACCGCCAATACTTCTTCTATCTCTAGCACTATGGGATTTGAATTAACACTCGCATGTCTGTGTTAATGTGTTTTGGCAATTTGAACTGATGTACATATGTATGTACGAAGTTCTGTGTTGTAACTGACTAACTTCACTTATTACTGGAAATTCGATCATTCTAGAAATATCTTTATTCTCGTTAAGGATTAGCTATTTTTTAACGATTAATTAATTATTCTCTATTCTTGAAATAAAGAAATGAAAAAATGTTAATCTGTTTATCTAGTCAATCGGTTATCATCATCATCATCATCATCATCATCATCAATATTAGAGAGACACCATAACATGTTATCTCAATAAGAAATGAACCAGATGTATAACAAAATGACTGAATTACTGAAAAATACGAGATGACGAACATTTGTGCAATACAAAAAATTGTGAGAGAAAATTAGCTATCACGCAATTCTCAGCCAGATTGTCTGAATTGAACAATACAATTCACATCAATTGTCTTAAATAACTTGGCATCGACTGGACTGTAGTTTCCGTCTAATTTACAGCTATATTCCAGTCAACAAGTCACAGCATATTTCATAGACATTTTAGTTTAATAAAGGTGTTTACATTTTCATGAATTGATTTACCATATCTGTACAGTACTATAAGCCTAATGTTTAATATTTGTATAGTGTGGAAAACTTTTATGATATCCTTTAGTCGATAGTAAAATGACAGTCGTACCTATTCACACTGCCATTACACATATGATGATACACTCTTGAAATAGTGTACACATACTTAAATTAACAAAAACACACTAGTTTATGAATGTAATGTGTGCTCATTTCAAATAAATTTCTTAAAAAGCAAATAACATGATGGTCTTACTTCAATCAATTAAGGGCTCTTGAAGAAATTGGAAATGAATTCTGTATAACAACTGTAGATTGTATGGTCATCATCCAATCGAAACAATTATGGTCGTAAATCAATCATTGTTAGATTATCATTATAAGCCTGAAAGAACTGGATGGTCGTTTCGTCCTGCTATGGGACTCATTATCAGCGCGATTCCGCGACTCCTGCTACTTGCAGGAATCAAACTCAGAACCTATGGTCTTGCACTCGAACGGTTAACCTCTGGACCATTGACCCAACATTCAAGCCGTGACTATTGGAGCTTAACCCTATCGATTGTAGGCACTAACTACTGGAGACAATGCATGGGGTTGCATAAACTCCTTAGATTGATTAAAGTTAGACATTAACACCATTGGATACCGGCTGGCGTTCACGTCCGAGATAGAAAGTCCTTGGTTCGATTACCGTGAGCTGTGGTTGTGGAAACGCACTGCTGAAGAGTCCCATACTAAGATGATGAAACGGCGATCTAGTACTTCAACATTTCTAATGGTGGTCTAACAATAATTGATTCACGATTTCAATGGAAAGCAACAATTCCACGTTTATTGCACATCTGACATTTATGTTTTTTCAATGGACAAAACCGTACGTAGTGCCAATCACCACATAACCAACATGCCGTCGTTGGTTTGTTGCAACATGTTTTCGGCTTCTGTACTTTTAACCTAGTAATAGCATTGACACTACTGCTGGTTAAATTGGGATTTACCTGTTCGATCAACATGTTGTCGTGCTTGATACTTTGTAGTCGTTTGCACTCATCTATTAACGTTTTGAGTGTAACGTTCGGGTCTTGGTCCATTCGAATCAAAAGTCTAGTTCTGATTTCAGCATCTTGCGGTGACTGAAGAGCTTTGATGAATATTAAGCATTTAAACTGATCTTCTGTCAACGAGCGTAACTTGAACCGTTTACATTCTCTGTTGACGATGTTAGCAAGGGCCGCATATTCATCATCTCCGTGCTTCACCAGATTTAGACAACGATATCTAATACTAAACAATGACGATGATTCGCCGAAAATTTCTGACAGCTGAATTACTGTCTCCTCGAAACTGAGCTCTCGAGGTAACTTCGATACTATGTGGTCAGCGTAACGTGCATACTCATTACTTCCCAACTTACGCACCAACAATCGAGTCTTCCATGCATCATCTTGTTTACCGAATTCAATTCTAAATGTATCTTCCCAACGTTTGAACCACGTCAGAAAAGTATTTCCACATTCTGGTATGCTGTTTGCCACTGCTTCACAAGACGTATTTGAAACAGTATGTGGACTCGGACACTGGATGTTGAGCTGTTGAGTTAGGGTCTCCAACAATCGCATTTGTGCATCCAATTGTGCTTGGTGTTGTAGTATTCGGTTAAGCTGATCATCTGAAATAGGCATCTTGAAAAAATTTTTTTCCTTTTTTCTTCGTCGCCACTATTGTCAGTTAGAGCAGAGAATCGTGCTTCTAAGATTTGTAATCATAGGTAAAATATCAAACATACTCGTGTTATTCCTAACAATAAATCAATATATTTTTTAAAAAAAAAAAGGTATTCTAAATATATATAATTGTTTGATTGTATTTTGTGAGTACATTTTTTATACATTGTTAAAATTCATATCACAGTGGTTATGCATCATCATCATCATCAGGTCAAGAGAAAACTGAATACAACTCATCATTCATAATTTTATCGTTCGTCGTTATTCATCTGGTGTTATTGATTTTTTGATTTCAGAATTGTGTTTATGAATTTGATAGAAAATCACGTCATTCACAAAATACTACTACTACAACAACATCTACTGCTACTACTGATAATAATCATAATCCTGTACAAGATACACATTCTGCTTGTTCTTCATCTTCTTTCAATCATTCTCATCATCATCACCATCATCGTCACAGTCAGAGACAGTTGAAAGAACAAGAAAAGGTATGGGAAATTCCTGGTTTCATTTTTTTTCTATTAACGAAAGAAATTATGAATTTAGCTGTAGAGTATTTTTGGCAGATGATAGTTTTACACATTGAAATCATGTGTTTTTAATCATTGTTAGACTATATGAACATTAGAAACCTGAACGGACACTAAAAGACTGCCGTTTTGTCTTGGTATGAGCCACATCTGTAGCAGTGTGGATCCACGACTCCTGCTGTTCGAAGGAATAGGACCACTCAGGACCTTCGATCTTGCGCTCGAATACCTAACTTCTGGACTACTGAGCCAGTCGACACCCACTGGTGTTAATGTCTAACTCTGATCAATCTAAGGATTTGTTTGCGTAACCTCACTGATTTGTTTTCGCTAGGTAACTGCCTACACGTAACAGGATTAATCTCAACTGGTCACGTCTTCTCAGTCAGTCAGTTGCAACGTAGAACTTGGTACGTAAGTACATCAGTTCATGTTGCCATACCACATCAGCACAGAGATATAATTGTCAATTCAAATCCAATAGTAGAAGAGGTAGTAAAGTTATTAGAAGTAATCGGAGAGGTTAGAATTAGAAGATATTATTCAAGAAGTATGATTCAGTGAGATAAGGTTAGAAAGACAAAGGTAGAGGTGCTGACGAATCCAGAAGATTAGGATTTGAGAGAGCACAACGAATGGATGCACTTGCGCCATTGCAAACGATTTTGAGCCATGTCGTTCAACGTCTCTAACCATCAATTATTATCATCTCGCGGACCCCAAACAGTTAGTCGACAATTACTGACATGGCTAAGTCCACTCGTCAATGACTTCATGGATTTCTGCGATGTTTTGGTTTGGCCGCCCCTAACTTTCTTCCAACCTATTCCTACACTACAAAACATAGCTCGTCGAGGCAGTCGGTGGTTAGGCATACGCAACACGTGTCCCAACCACCTCAACTGATGAAGTTTCATTACTTCATCTATTGATCTGCCATTCTTACCTAGTACCCGATTCCTAATAACAGCGTCGCTCACTCGGGTGTCCCACGATATACGAGCAATGCTTCGAAGATACCTATGATCGAAAACCAGTAACCTACGAATATCTTCTACTCTCACTTGCCATGTTTCACAGCCATAAAGTAAGACGGAGCGAACTACTGCGCAGTACACTCGTCCTATAGTCAGCAACCGGATCTCTCGCCTACGCCATAAGTGACGCGGGTTGGCAAAAGCCTACCTAGGATTTTGTATTTGTGCTGAGATTTCGTCAGTCACCAGGCCATCGGCACTGATGAGACTCCCAAGATAAGTGAAGCGGTCTACACGTTCGACCACTTCACTCCCTATCACTAGTTCAGGTGCCGATGCAACCCAATCCTGAAGCAACATTTTGCATTTCGACGGGGAAAACCGCATCCCGAACATGCTTGGATTGTTGCTTAGGGTAGTCAGTCACGTCTTCTCACTAGTCACTAGTGAGCACATTTTATGATTTTACATTAGAGGTAATTGATCAATTTCTCAAGTGTTCATCAACTATGAATAAAGTACACAATTCACGATTGTTGGCTAACGAAATAAATCTGTCATTTAAGGAATTTTAAGTGATAACTGCCGACCACCTGGGCAAGCGATGTTTTGTAGTGTAGGATTGGATTGGAACAAAGGTAGGGGCGGCTACATCAAAACATGACACAAATCCATGAAGTCATTGACAAATGGAATGAGCCATGTTAGTTGCTGCCGACTACCCGGTTGGGGTCCGCGAGATGATGGTAATCGAAAGTTAGATTCTATGAATGACATGGCTCAAAATAGTTTGCAATGGCACAGTTACATCCATTCTTTGTGTTCTCTAAAAATTTCAATCTCCCGAGTTCCTCATCAGCCCAATCTTTCTCTTTGTAAGTTTATTTCACTAGATTCTACTTCTTGAATAATATCTTCGAACCCTAATCTCTCCGATTACTGCTAATACCTTTACTACCTCTATACTACTATGGGAGTTGAATTGACAATTGCGTCTCTGTGCTAATGTGATATTGCAAGCGGAACTGATGTACGTACGTACGTACGAAGGTTTCCGTCGTAACTGACTGCCTAATGGTTAAGAAATTCACTTTTAAGCCATTCAGTTGTAGGTTCGAATCTCGTTCTGTGACATTTCTGTTTGACCAATCAAAAAATAACAGCCTTCACATTTAGAGTGTAATTCAAAGTTACGTTCAATAAAATTAATCATCAAAAGATAGACAAAAGTTTCTACTAAAATTATAAGTCTTATGTGTGTAATCAGTGATTAGTTGAGAATGAAAATTCTTTAGGGTCACACATTACAACTAATCAAGTTTCATATCTACAGCTTTCTTTATATCAATCCTTTCACATAATATTCATCTCTTATTCAAATGGAGTATTTTTGGCATAGAATGCGCAGTATTGCAACAAACTTCCTATTCTCTAGTATATACTTTATAGTTCTAGAGATTTAAAAGTTACATAACTGGAAAGAATGCGTTTACAGTGATTATAGGCGAATTGTTTTTCTTTCCATTTTCTAACCTATTTGATGTCAGACTGTTATGATATCTTATTTATTTAAACACATAAGCATTGGTAAAAAGGGCCACCTAATTATTTATGCGTAATACAAATCGTTTGAATTTGTGAGCGTGTCGAAATACTGTTCGGGTGTTAAAGCTGAAACAGGTGGGGTTTTTTTTAGGAGAACACTTCTCGAGCCTTTGACCTAGAGAGATACAACCCTCAAAGTGGTAGAGCGAATTCAGGAGATGTGGTCATATGGTAGACAGTGTCAGTCAGTCACAGTGTAGAACTTCATACATACGTACTTCAGTTCAAGTTGCCGTACTACCACATTCGCACACAGAGATGCAATTGTTTAATTCAAATCCCATATTATTATTGGAGGTAGTAGAAGTATTAGCATTGATCAAAAAGATTAGTGATCGAATCTATCATTCGAGATGTATACCTCAGAGGAATCAGTTAAATAAAAAGAAAGAACCGTCATGAGGAATTCAGAAAATTAAAGATTTGAGAGAACACTAAGAGTGGATGCACCTGCGCCATTTCAAACACTTTTTAGCCATGTCGTTCAAGGTCTCCAACCATCGGTTATCATCTTTGCGCGTACCCCGACCTGGTAATCTACATTTATCAACATAAGTAAATGGTATACGGTAACCAACAACTGATTCGTACACCGTATTTCCCCTCGAGATTCTAGAGCCCATGTGCATCATTAGTTAGAAGGAATGAGGGTTTTCTAACCCCTATTGATGGATTCTCCGTAACCATCACTCCGGTTTAAACTCTGGCAGAACATTCGCTTTTATTCCTTACTACGAGAAGTCACAGTAGTAACGGCTGTACACACATGGCATTTTCGAGAGAGAAAGTAGACTCTTTCCAATTTCGGCCGTACCAGAGCATACGTCGGTCAATAATAATAATAATAATAGTAACTACTTTATTGATTACTATGAATTCTGTTAAAGTGAGAAGTTTTTCAGGCATCAATTAATTGTCCAACATTACAATTCATATTTCTCATTATATATCCATTCAAGTTTGAGATTGTCCGAAAGATTATACTTTACAAACATAATGTTTTTTTTTAATAATTAATATCTACTGCTTTTCTTTAATCATGAGCGTTTTTTTTATCAGTTCTTAAATGTTCAATGTACAATTTCTTTTTCCATTCATTTGACATTGATTGCTGGAATTTACAACATTTTTCGTTAGTTTTTTTTCAAAGGTTAGAAACAGGGAGGATATTTTACTAATAAGTCAGTTTCATGTGTTGTTACGAGTATAAGGGTGGATGTCACTCCCCAGCTACTCACACCATGTAAGCGTATTTCTTGAAGAACCGGAAAATGAAGTTAGAGTAGCGTTGGTCTTAGCGACCTGGGAGCGTGGCTGCAGAGCTTAAGAGACAACTGCTTAAGGCCAGAAGTGTTAGCTCTACTCTATAAAAGGCCTTACTGTTTGAGACACAAATTCATAGGGTACGGTAAGGTGTACAAGTTTCCCGAGTCAACCTTTTCTAACTCGTTCGTTCTGTTGTGAGAAAGCAGCATCGCTAAAAATGTTGCCTGTCCTAGGGAAACACCTTAATGATGTCTCAACTCTCTACAGTCAGCAGTACAAATTCACCCTCAGTTACTGGCAACATTTTAGGCCAATAGCAATATATAGAAAAGTTTTAATAACTGACACTAAACTGGTATTTATTTATATTAATTTGCTGATTTTTTTATCTATACTTTGTCGAACAAAAGATCCCACCACCGTCATCATCATCATCATCAAAACGTGAAACTCGTCATCGAAAACCACGTACTCGTCAATTGGATACAGACGGTCTAATGGATGATATATTACATAGTAAGTTTTTTAAAGTACATACATTTGAAGTTCAATTTTAAACAATTTACTATCAATCAATACAAAATAAATGCAACAACTTATTTTGCATATTCGGTTAGTGACTAGCAGTGGAATCGAATCAGAAGAACGTTTTGTATTATTTGGGACTTGTCTTGCCCTACTACAGTCTATATGAAGTTATAATTTGTGATGAAGTTTGCTTCTCTGAGCTGGATGTTTTAATTGAGAGAGTTTTTCATTGTTCCCTTCTGAACAACAACAACAACAACATCAGCAGAAACTTCCGGTGGAAGAAGTGAAGTATCCGAATGTCTTCACGTGTATGAGACTTGTAGCCTGTTCTGTTGACCTTGATCCTGGTTTGTAAACCTATCGTTGTTTGCACCTTTGCTTTGACTGTACTCCCCTTTGATCTGTTTCTTGATCCTATGTTTGTTTATCTATGAGTTTTCTTCTGATTGGTTTATAAATGTGTGGTGCTGTGGTGCGAACTACTTATAAGTAGTATATAACGTGAGTGTCAACGTAATTTCTGGCAGCCGAAGATAGGGGGGAAGATCAAGAAAGGAAGAGTTAGAAAACAATGGAATTTGTATGAAACGCATGAATAGTGACAATGGATTGATGTTTGGCAACAGGAACAGTCCAGTTCCATAGGATGAACTGATCTTTTGCAAATTAACAATTTACGATATGGTTTTCCGATTTTACTGAGTAACTCTGTAATTTTCGTGAAATACAATTCGGTTGCCCCACCTGTGTTCTCATTCACTACAAATTGAGTCAATGTCGATGTGTTTTTGTTGATTATTGATTGAGGTGAGTGCCAAGCTTCTCAAAAATTCCGTGGTGTTCATTTTATACTCCCTCTATTCAGTATTTCAACA